CTGCGCTTTTTGCATGCTAGGCAAGCACCTGTCAACTGAATGGTACCCCAGCTCATCCTTTTAGAACATTAAATAATATTAGAAAGTATAATATGCTAAGAATGGAAAAGTTCTAAAACAAGTATTTATTTGAATATAAATCACCCTCTTAGCTATTTATAATAGTGATCATTTGTTACATTTCTTGCCCTTGAATTTATTAAAATATGATTAATGAATGCTGTCATAGTTGCTTTTTTATTGCTTTGAAAAGACATCATGAAGAAGAAGAAAGCTTTTAATAAGGGGCCTACAGTTCCATAGGGTGAGTCCATGACCATTGTGGAGGCTGAGAGAGAGAGAGAGAGAGAGAGGAGAATGGAGAATGGCAGGGGCATTTCAAACCTCAAAGCCCAACCCCAGTGACACACTTCTTCCAAAAATGCCACACCTCTTCTTCCTTCCCAAACAGTTCCACCAACTGAGAACTAACTATTCAAATCTATAAGCCAATGGGGGCTGTTCTCATTCAAACCACCGCCAATGCCTACTATTGAGCCATGCAAACATAGGAGACAGTTTAGTACAGATTGCTGTTTTCCTTTGAGTCATGCACACACAGATTCTTTGCCATTGTGTAATTGATAGCCTAGTTCCTTCACCATTACACACATCCTCCACCAGACACTACACCTGGCAACTTTAGCATACCCTCCACCTTCCATCTGTATCAGCTACATGTACTTTCATCCCTGAATAGTGCTGGGAGTCCATAACTTCCCACCTTAGAAGACAGGAAACTATGGCAACCAATTGTCTCAGGTTGCTCAGGATTGAAGAGTTTCCAGAGATATTAGACCTCCACTTTTAAGATGGAGAAGAAGTCCCACGCAAACCCAAATGAGTTGACCACTCAATAGAGGAAGCTAGAGAAGCAACTTTCTATCATTCCCTCATCGGAACCACAGTCATCAGTGGGTCTAACTATTTCAAGTTAATGTAGAATGATAAAATTGCTGGGGCACTGATAATTATCTTCCTTTACATGAGTTTTACAGAGACATTTAAGTTTCACAGAAGTCCATTTGTAATGACATTTGTCATGAAGTCACAATGTGCTTATAGCATGTCAGGACAAGACTCCAGATTGCCACATTCCTAGTTGAAGCCATTTCCCACTGCTTTCCTTTTTGGGGCATTCTCATTTCCCATTTTATCATGCTCTTAAGGTGTAAAATGAATTCAGCTCGTCTATCTTTTTGCCAAAGAACTCAACTGGGCACCACTTTCAACTGTATTTCTGATAGGATGGTGACAGCAGGCTAGAGTACAACCAGCTTATGCAAGACCTCAGTGGAGCAGTGCCTCCATGGTTACCAGGCATTTATCCCATCCCTACCTGTTATTTCTGCACACCCACATGTGGGGCTGTTGCCCACATGCAGGTATTTGTTATTGCTTCAGTGTTAACTTTGGCTCAGACAGGCATATGCAAAGACCCTGTACGTACTCCTTTTACAGTTGTAGGCAAGGAGATTGTATCACCCTTTATGCTGAACATCGGCAAAACTCGGGAGTGTCTTGTACCCATTTGAGTGGCATACTTAAAATGGCAACTCTACAATTTGAAGTTAGTATATAAGCTGATCATTTGTCCGTGCAAGCTCAAGTATCCTGCTATCACTCTGATTTATCCCTTTGAGACAGTATCTCTCATTGAATATGGACCTAGGCTGGCAGGAAGCAAGCCCCACCAACCTACCTGTATCCATTCCTCAGAGTGCTGGGGTTTACAGGTATGTGAATGGCCACATCTGGCTTTTTATGTATGAGCTGGGATTTGAATTTCGGAGCCCATACTTGCAGAGCAAGCAGTCTTATGTGCTGAGCCATCTCCCTAGGCTCACAAACTGATCAGTTCTAAGTGGTCTGTTGGCATGCAGCCAATTTAGATGAAATATATGACTCTACCCTGAGCTCCATCTACACTGGCTACTCTCCTTCAAATGCATCATGAACTAATTTGTGCTGGAAGATGGCTGCTGCATTTCGGAAAATTCTATGGTGAATTACCAACTCTAGCAGTGGTCCCTTCTCTAAGCCCTGTGTGGAACCTGATTGGAGTCAATGCTCCAAATTCCTTGGCCTTCATCTTTCCCCCACTTGGCCTGGTGCCTGTAGCTCATGGGCAGATCAGAGAGTCCTTATATAAGAAATGAAATACCTCCCAAATGTGACAGCATTTTTAGGTGCCATTGTAAAACTGGCGTGTTGTTTCCACCTCTATTTTACATCACTCTTCCTTTTTTAAGTAATCCTATCATGTTCTTTCTCACTGTTTCTTCAGACAGACCTGGTGACAATTCTTTATATTGCATGCTGATTTTGTTTTTTGAGAGATCAACCCACAGTGTAGCCTTGGTTGTCCTGGATCTCACTATGTAGACCAATCTGGTCTTGAACTTTATAGAGATCTACCTGCCTTTGTCTGTTGAGTGCTGAGACTAAAGGCATGTGCCACCATGCCTGGTTTTATGGTGATTTTAAGGCCTTTGTTTGTCAATCTCAGTGTTTTCCATACTTTAAAGCTGAGTTTCTCTACAAGAAAATAATTGTGTACATATCTTGTCCAGAGAAATGGCACAGTCTGTAAAGTGCTTGCTGCACAAAAGCATGAGGACCTGAGTTTGTGTTCCCAGGACCCATGTAAAATTCTGGGTGTGGCAGTAGCCTCCTGTAATCCCAGTGCTGGAGACAGTAAAATTCCTGGAGCTCACTGGCCAGCTATTCTTGCCAAACCATTGAGTTCTAAGTTCAGTGAGAGATGCTGTTTCAAAAAAAAAAAAAAAAAAATGAGGCAGAGAAGAATCAAGGAAGATACCCAATTTAAGCTCTGGCATTAGTACCCATGTTTGCACACATGAACATGTACAGACACACACACACACACACACACACACACACACACACACACACACAAGCAAAATTCAAGGCATCACTGAATGGGTTTGGAAGAAGATGTTCTAAAGAGACAGGACTTCTTTAAAACAAAGCACATGAAAAACTTTTATGCAGCCTGTACTTCAGTTGGGACTGCTCCAATAGATGGATACCTAATTTCATTACTTTGATGCATAATACATTGTAGCTATTTATGGATGTATGTGTGTAGGGGAGGCGGTGGGCATTTGTACGCCACAGTTCTGTGTGGTAGTCAGAACAACTCTCTCCTTCCACAATGTCAGTCTCAGGGACTGAACTCAGGTAAGCTTAGTGCCAGGTACCATCTCACCAGCCCCGGTGTTTACTTTGAAAGGTACTATCTAAAATTATCAACTTAGATGTGCTATGTGGAGCAACAATGATGCCTTTGTGAAAGATGATATCTAATGAGTCCTTCACAAAGAAAAGGCTTTAAAACGGTGATGGGTATACTTTAATTAACTTCTGGCTTTCCTTTAATTTCATAAACTGGATCTTAATCATATAGTAGCAAACATTTTCAGGTACTTCATCAGCAGGTCACTTCAGTAAAAACGAGTTATTCTGAAATGATAATATAAACTATGAAACAAAGTAGTCAGCATGATTTTATTGAAATGTCTTCATAAATGTCATGGGATCTCAAAATTCTCTGGTCTCTAAAACCTGAGCAAGCACTGCAAAGAATATACTCCTGAATTTAATTAACATTGTATCTAACAAAGGAAAAATAGCATATGAATATCTATCAGTAGACTAATGAAATTTCGGTGGAGGCTAAACAACTTTGGTACATTCACGTCTTCTTGGTTCCCACTTTTGGGTAGATATATGCCTAACCTACCCTCATTTCATAGAATTGGACAAAGCTGATCGATTTCATGATTCCCCTTATGTTTTTGTTGTTGTTGTTGTTTTGTTTTACCACAAGGAGCAAGGAACAAGAAAGTTCTGGTTTTAGGCTGCTCATGAGGCAGCCTTCATCATTCTGGCCAAACTGAAATCAACCAATACTTAAAATCTGTGTTTTATTTTTACTGTGTAAGTCTCAGTCCAATCTAATTAGTTCATAAATTTATTCAGAGGTACTTTAAAATACTGACTCAGGTCAAGTAAAGACAGAAACTATCAGTTTCAGTGAACAGCCAGGTAGATTTTTTTGTTTTTTAGGGTGGGGGTTAAAGTCTGAAGACCATTATTTTAAGATTCACTGTAACACATTTAAGCTTTAAATATCTTAGATTTAATAATTATCAACTAGTTTTTGTCATGCCAACACTTTGGGACACGTGCACACATATATCAATCTGTCTCCATGTGGGTGTGCACAAGTGTGTCTTCATTCTGCATAGGCATAACACCTAGGAAATATAAACATCACACATTTATCAAAAATAACAGTTGTATAGTGTCAAACAGAGTTTTGACACATGTCTAGCCAAGACTTTATAAATAGTCTGTACCACAGAGTTAAACATCCCAGGTGATGGGACCGCTTTCTCCAGAAAAGTTACAAATACAGTACTGTCAAAATGCCCATTTCTATAACAACATAAACAATACTTACTTTTTAACTTTGCTTTGACTTTTGCTGCTCTGAAGTCTGATATTCTAGAGTGCGGGTCAAGCATGCTATTCAGCTGGGTAGGATTTTCTACCTGTGGCATTTAGGACTGGTTTTTGGTTGTTTTTGTTTTATGACACACACTATCAACTCTATACCCCAGGCTGAGCTGGAACTCACCATGTAGCATAGGCTGGCCTCAAGCTTGTGGTAATCTTCCTGATTAAGTTTTCTGAGAGATGGTACTACAGGCACGAACACCTTGTTAAAGATCATTTTTATCAAGAATGCAATCAGTGAAATTCTTCTTCACAATGCTTTTTGAACCCTTTTTGAAGATTATTTTAATGGAACAACTATTTCCTTTTGAGTTCATTGTTTTGCAGGCATCATCTACAGCTACATCTTAACAGCTTTACAGAGGATAACCAGTCATTAGAGAGTTAGTGCTTCTAATTACAAAAGGCTAAGGACATTTAATTCAAGTTAATTAAGCAGTGTTTGAATAAATTCATTTGGTAGCACTCTGAAAACATCTCCATTTTATTTATGCAAAAGAAACAAAACAATAATCAGCTTAAAAATGTGAGAGTTCAAAGAGTCTTTCTTTTGGTGCAGAAGAAGAAATTATTGGGGAAAATGCAAAGTAAAGGTTATTGCTGAAGACTGAGAATAAGATGATAGTATATGAGCTGCATCCTAGAGTAATTCACTGTGGCCATGAAATCATTAAATACATCCTAATGTGGCACCCAAATCATAGTGCTCACTGATCATAAATTGCGAGTTTCATTTAGGTTAAGAGTTATGACAAATCCTCAAAGTGGTGATTAAAAATGATACAACCTTATATTGTTTTCAATATATCTAATATCTATTTAGAAAGTCAGTATGTCAGTGACCATCTTAGGCTCAATAAAATTCAGTCCCAATTAAGGACAATAATAAAATAAACCCATTTATCATTTTTAAAAAAGAAACAAAAATTCAAAATGCGTGATAGTATAAATTTTCCAAGGTTCACTCTGAAGTAAAGGCTATTTTGGATTTTCTCCAAATGTCCACTGGCATTATCATTATGTATTTACACAGAGGTTTTTATCGGCAGTCACCTTTGGCAACCTCAAAATATATGTATGACGGATTTCCACAGTGCAATTTTAGACTTAAAAGTTGTTGCCTCAAAGTACTAAGAAAGAATGAGGAAAAATATTTCTAATTAATATCAGCTTACTTAAAGACCAAATAACTACCACCTTCCTCTGGCCCTACCCTCTACAAACTGGAAAGAAGTAGTCTTGAGCGTTAGAAGGGAAGACAAGGAATCTCATAGATAGGATGCTTTTGCCAGTCATCATCCTAGAATTGCTGAGTCCTAACGCTAAGACAGCAGGCAGAGAAAGACTGTGAGAAGTTAGAGGAGGCTTGCTCCTCTGTATCCCAATCCGGTCTATAGTGGGACGTGGCTGAACAGGTAGGACACGGATTCTCCATTGTGGGTTCTTCGAATGGCCTCAGCCAGGATCATTGAAATGTCAATCACCTGAATAACAAGGGGGTGGGGGGAGAAAGACGGGAGTCAATTCTATTTCTTTAAAAGCTGAAAATTCAGAAAGCCTAGAAATGTTTTCTCTAGGTCACAGATGCTATGTTTTCGTCAAACTCCTTCAACCATTTCTTTGGGGAAAGACAAACAACTGTGGGTTTTATCTCCAAAGACATCACAAACAGCCAAGCTGACTACTATCAGTTCTTGGGAAGATTTTCAGTGTAGATACTCAGGGCTGCTTTACCCACAGATGGTCCCTTCTTGGGACACTGTTTAAAAATTAGTTTTCTATATTCACTGGCAGAGGCTTTTTTCTACTCTTTTTACAAAATATAACAACCATAACCTTTTGTTTAAGTTACAACTTTCATTTTACTTAAGTTTTTACTATAATCCCTGCAGCCATGTATAAAACATGGCAATGTTTTTCATAAAATATTATATAGCAAATCCTATACAACCTATCTTTCTACTTGGCTTTGTTTCAATTTGAAATACTCACCAGTGTTTTTAAAATTCTTTTCTTTCCAACACCACTATCATTACCACCCCCCCCCACCATCATCATTATTAAATGTGTTTGTGGGGTGGGGGAGAGATGTGTGTGTGGGGGGGGTGGGAGGTGGGCACACATATGCCAAAGCATGCATATGGAGGTCAGAAGATTTTGTGGAGTCCATTTTCTCTTTTTCTGCCTTTAAGTGGGCTCCAGGGATGAAACTCAGATCACCAGGCTTGTGTAGAAGTGCTTGCCTGCTGAGTCAGCTCACTGGTCGCAGAAAGTTAAAAACAGTGTGTGTCTGTCATGATAAAAGCATAACCATGATCATTTAACCCTGGGGTCAGCAAACTACTTTTGCTGTAAAATACCATAAAGTTAATGGTTTTGGTTTACTTCTGAATCAAACATTCAGTTCTCCATTGTGGTGCAAAGGCAGTCAAAGGTAGTCATAGGCAACATAAGGGTAAAAACAGAGTATGTGTCAGTAAAAACCTTATTTAAAATAGACTTGGGCTAGACTTGGCCTTTGGGCAGCAGTCATTAAAGTATTGTTGATCATGGATAAAAACATAAGGGACCACTGTTCTGACTATTTCCTTGTATTCAAATGACCTCTTTTTTTTTTTTCTCAGCATGATCAGAAATCATGAAGAGCACCACTGTGTGCCATCTTGATGTTCACTGAGGGAACCAGGGCCTCCAAAAACACAATGAGTGGCTAGGGGTCAGTGGAAGAGAAATTCGAAATAGAAGCTGCAGTGGTGTTGACTGACTACTATTAATTCTCTGGTAATCTGTGGGCACATAGCTGGGAGGGTAAGAAGAATTGAGGTCTCCCGATATGATGAGGATAGCCTGCTGCTTCATATGCTCCATATTTAGGGGACTATATATCTAGGGGTAGAGTTGTTGGGCTAGACCATAAGTATATTCTTAACTTTTGATTTTTAGTGTTGGCCATGCTAGGCAGGTGCTGTAACAAGCTATTTCCCCAACTCTCTTGATGTTTTATATTGTGATTTTGTTTATTTGCTATTTCTTTTGTTCTTCTCTGTCTATCCACTGAGACATCTCATTGGTGCCATATGCTATTTTTGTTTGTTTGCGAGACAAGATTATGTGTAGCTTGGGCTGGTCTCATGATAACCCTGCCTCTACTTTCTAAGTACCACCATACATAGATATTTTCCTGTTCCTTTTTTAAATTCTTTTTTTCATAGATAATGTCTCATCCCTCCTAGGGTGGCTTTGAATTTAAGATGACCTTGAGTGTTTAATCTTTCTGCATCCAAATCAAGTGCAGGGATTGTAGGTGTGCACCACCATGACTACTTTATTCAGTGCTGGGTCGGGAGCACTCATGCATGTTATGCAAGCACTCAACCAACAGTAATGCATCTTCAGCTTCCTTTCCTCCCCTCCATTTTCTTCCTTCCTTTCTTCATTTATTTTTTCATTTGCTATTTCCAAATAGTGCCATTAACCTCTTGATTCTGGCCTTTCTCAGGGAACTAACATGACTGATAATCTACTGTAACAAGCAACTTCTGTCTCTGCTAGCATCTGCTTAGCAAACAGAAGGCTGGATGTTACTTCAGAGTCAGAAGCAGGTGCCGTGGTGCACCGTTCTGCCTAGGTGCCTAGTACCTGAATCTTGGAGCAGTGTTGTATTTTGTCGTCTTGTGGAATTGTGTTGGTGACAACAACAGCTTCAAAGGGAGCATTATTAATTCTGGAAATAGCTGGCCCAGAGAAGATTCCATGGGTAAGGATAGCATAAATTTTGGTGGCACCCGCTGACAGTAACCTGCAAAATAGAAGACAGAAAGTTACCAGTGGTATTGCACATGTGTAACTATAGCATTAGGGAGGCCAAGACAGGAAGACTTAAGTTCAACACAAGCCAGACCTACTAAGCAAGGCCCCTCCTCAAAAAAATTAAGTGCTCACAAATATTAAAATATTCTTGAAATACTCTACCTTGTCTCAATATGACAAATGAAAAGTGTGTCCTATAAAAGAAAAGATGGAACAAAATCCATTTGAATTTATTATCCCAAACTAGGATATTTTAAATGTATGTGTTTGCAAAATTCTTTTTGTTCCATTAAATCAAGGATTATCGACCTTGTCATTTATATCTACATAATTATTTCTCATAGGGGTTATCTTGTCCATTGTAGGAAAATTCAGTAACATCCTTGGTCCACATACTAGCAACATTCCCATGTCCTTAATTGTGACAACCAACAATATCTTTAGACATTGTCAAATATTGTCCAGGGAACAATCTATCCCATGTTGAGAACCAATAGTACTAAAACATATAATATGCAATCAAGTCAGAATATTACCAGTGAGACAGTGAGAGCATCTCAAACTGTATTCCACAGCCATGTGTGGCAAGGAAGTCAGGGAGGTTCTTATCCTGACAAGTATTCCCCTGTAGCCTCTAGAAAGACACATGACTTATGAGGCTAGCAGAAATGTTGAGCTGAAGGAAACAAGGGTACAAACAAGTGAAAACAAACAAACACACAAACAAACCAAACACCATGTCTTTCTGGGCCTGATTTCTAGAGAAGCACATTTTCTGACCCTTTTGAAATGACCTGAAAGTCCAACCTGGAAAAAAAGCCCAAGGCTTTTGGTTGTGGGTGGTGTTTGTGTTTTCTATCAGGGAAATGGGACTAGAAAAAAAAATAAGCCTAAAATCTCCTTTGGCCTACTGTCAAGTCACCAACAATAATTAAGACAAATAGGCTAAATTTCAAATAGTGGATGTTCACTGTGTAAGTGTACTTGCCACCAAACCTTACAAGCTGAGTTTGATCTCTGTGATTTATAGTGAAACAGGAGAATTGACTCACAAAATTGTCCTCTGACTTGTACCATAGCTGTCCACTACTGTACCACAAAAGTTGCCCACTACTGTACCATAGGATGCATGCATTCCCAAAATGTATGCACACATACACACACATGCAAGCACATACACACAACTAAATAAATAAAATAATATTTTAAAGGGATGTTTTTATTTCCTAAGGAGATGTTTTCTTGTCATGTTCCCTGGACCACCCCACGTACTTATCTGCAGCATGGCAGATGGTACCACACGTGTCAGCCATGTCGTCCACCAGGATGGCCACCCGATCCTTCACATCACCCACCAGAACCATCCGGTCCACTTCATTTGCTTTCTTTCTCTCCTTGTGAATCAAAGCAAAGTCCACATTCAGTCTGTCTGCAATTGATGTAACCCTTTGGAAAGAAGCAAAGGAACATATTAACAGAGTCAATCTAAGAATTTATTACTGGGCACTAGGCTGGGGAAATAGCCTGATTGTAAAATGTTTCCCCTGTAAGAGTAGGACCTGAGTTCAATCTCTAGAACTCATGTTTAAAAGGCCAGGAACAGTCCACTTTTGACACACCTCAAACCCAACGTTAAGGAATGAGTCTCAACTTTACAAATTTACTAGTGACAATTTTACTTTAGTTTCCTTGAAAGAAAACCATAACATCTGTTTGAATCCCAGACAGAGAGAAAGCTATAGATTCTGCCATTCTTTTAAGACCTTCTTCTAGGAAAAGCCAACTGTTTCTTTATTTAAAACAAAAAATAAAAACCAAAAGCAGCCTTTCCCTGTTGCCAGCTGCACCCAGTGAGCAACAGCATCTTCTGAGAGGCAGACCTGGTTATGGTCCTAGGTCTAAGAAACACTGTAAACAAAATGAAGAATCTGGTATATGATGAATTTTGACATCCACGCCATATTTTACCAAAGCAAAACTACTATTTTTTTCAAACACAACTGTCCATAAAATTTGCAAAATAAAGCCAAGATACCTAACTCTGCACTTTAAGGTTCCTGGTTACTCTGCCTTGGTGACCTGCAGAGTGACTCTCCACAGTATGTGTTTATATAGTTCTGTTGGGGACATATAATTTATGTTTTCTAAACTATGCATCTTTGTCTCTGTTGATATAAATATTTTAATGCAATTTTTAAAAGTTATAACAAAATTCTGCCCTTGGAAAACAGCATTTCCAGCGATAAGTTGTTGTTGTGAACTGTGTCCTTGCCCCTGAGCTCTCATTCTTCCGTCACAGAGACTACTACAACTTCTATGTTCAAATAAAGTGTGTTGTTCTTGAGCTTTAAAAAACGAAAAAAAAAAAAAAAAAGCTAGGAATGATGGCACATGCTTGTAATTCTAGCACTGAGGAGACAGAAATAGCCACATCCCTGGGTCATGCTGGGGAGTCATGCTAGCCTATTTAGTGAACTCCAGGAAGGCCCTCACTGAGAAACCCTGTCACAGGATGTTCATTAGCAAGTATGAGTCCCTGAGTTCCATCCCTAGTGCACAAATACACACACACACACACACACACACACACACACACACACACACACACAAACACACACACCCACACACACACACACAACTTGTTTTTGAAAAACACAGTAATACAGTTTAGGCATACAACAAGGAACCACACTCAAGATAATGAAAAGGATTGGGCCATGCTTGTGACACCAGGCATAGTTGAGACTATACACCACATGATCCACATGGAAGAACACACATGTGCACAGTCCCTATGGTTACAAAATGGCTAAATTTTTCTTCATTCTAACTTTCAAATTTTTGATAGTAGATGATCAAAGAGCATATAATCAGAAAAAGGTTACATATTAAGGACCCATTTTTATCTACCTCTCATAACCCTTTATAGTTTTATTTAATATGTATGTGCATACACACATACATGCATGCAAACATATCTACTCTAGGGGTAGTTCTTTCTTTCTTTCTTTCTTTCTTTCTTTCTTTCTTTCTTTCTTTCTTTCTTTCTTTCTTTCTTTCTTTCTTATTATTAGTTACTTTTTATTAACTCTGTATCCCAGCTGTATCCAAACCCCTCATTCCCTCCCAATCCCACCCTCCCTCTCTCATCTCCTCCCCGCCCCCTTCCAAGTCCACTGATAGGGGAGGACCCCTCTCCTTCCTTCTGCTCTTTGTCTATCAGGAGTGGCTGCATTCTCATCTTCTGTGGCCTAGTAAGGCTGCTCCCTCCTCAGGAAAAGGTGATCAAAGAGCAGACCAATCAGATTATGTCAGAGGCAGTCCCTATTCCCATTACTATGGAAGCCACTTGGACACTGAACTACCATGGGCTACATCTGTGCAGGTGTTCTAGGTTATCTCCATGCATGGTACTTGGCTGGAGTATGAGAGTCTGGAAAGACCCCTGTGTTCAAATTTTTTTGGTTCTGTTGCTCTCCATGTGGAGCTCCTGCCCTCTCCAGATGTTACCATTTCCCACTTCTTTCAGAAGATTCCATTCACTCTGCCCAACATTTGACCATAAGTCTCAGCATCTGCTTTGATAGTCTGCAGGGCAGAGCCTTTCAGAGGCCCTCTGTTGCAGGTTCCTAACTTGCAGAAAGACACACAAAGTATATACTCACTCATACAGACATATAATATAGGATAAATCTACTAAAATCTGTACATCTAAAGAAACTAATCAAAAGGGAGGACCCTGACTAAAATGCTCAATCCCCATCCCGAAAGGCAAAGAGAATAGACATCAGAAGAAGAAGAAAACAGGATATTTCTTAATCTATGTTCCTCATCAATTCAATTAAGCTTCATGTACTACTCAAGAGTGACCTCCTGTGGCAAGACAAAGCTTTACTTGGAGAGATTTAGCCCCAAAGCTTTCTCTAGAACATCAGACTTAGATTTCCCAGATAGATATTTTTTCCAGTGAAATATGACTTTGCATTAAGCAAAGAAAACAACTATTTCATCAACTATATATAGCAACACTACCTGCTAGAGTTTTCCAGTGGGACTTTCAGTTAGAGAACAGCCCAGACCAACACATGATGATGACAAGAAGGTATAGCAGACAAGATAAAGACAAAGGAGGTGACAGAAATTCCTACATGTGTATCCCTAAGATCCTGGCTTTCCTAGCAGAGGGAACGGGAACAAGGGTAGCTAGATGAAAGTGTTCTGAGGACTTCTAAACAAAAGAACAGTTTAAACTTGGTCACTTGCTTACTCTGGTTCTCTCTCTCTCCCCCTGCCTCCCTCCCTCTATCCCTCCCCTGTGTGTGTGTGTGTGTGCCTATGCATGTGTGTGTGATGTAGTATATGTATACAAGTGTATGTAGGTATATATGCCCAGAGGCTAGAGATAGCCATTAAATTTATTTCTCTATCAGTTTCTACCTAATACTTTGAAGCTGGGTCTTTTCACTGAACCTGGAGCTAGGTTGTCAATCAGCAAGCCTCACTGATCATTTTGTAGCTAATCCTCACTGTGCTAAGGTTACAGTGGCCATCCATGGCTTTTTTAGACAGGCCTTGGAAATTTGAACTCAGGTGTTCATGCTTGAGTAGAAAGAGGGCTTACCCCCTCAGCATCTCCAAAGCCGCCTTCTGTAATTTTTAAAAGTAGGAGCTGTCAAGTAGATAGAAGAACTTAATACGTAATAAAAGATGTTGTTTCAAACCAATAGAGAGAGGATGGATAATTCAATAGTTCCAGAATGACTAGATAGCTGGTAGAAGAGAGAGAAAATTAGATTTTTATTTTACTTTTTATTTCCCAATAAACGTCAAATGCAAGAAAAATCAGAACATTAAAAGAGAAAAAGAGATCTTTAAAAATATCCAAAATCACAAGAGAAGAAAAAAATTAAGAGAAAGGCAAGTGCTTCATAAGCCCAGAAGCCAGAATGTGAAGCAAGCATAACAGTAAGATGGTTTTCAGAGCCCATCATCGACTGAGCATATAAAAAGAGGAGGACATTAAAAACCAGGGGAAATACCTGAGACTCTCATGAAAGGCAGAGCTGTAATAGCCCACCTTTGCCAATCCACAGGTAGAAGTCTCAAGGCAAGACAACAACTTTTTTTTTTTTTTTCATGGAAAAACCATCATGTTATAAAGGATGACTGCCTTCACTCACAACAACCCGAATTTACAGGACGACATACCATAAGTCACCTGATAACTGATATGAGCAAGGCTGGGTACCAAGACACTAGCAGCCGCACTGGCCAATGCCACTGGGAATGTTTTTTTTTTTTTTCTGAAAGAGCCACTTTGGACACTGTCCACCAAAACTCAAAGGGCTTATACCTTTGGTTTAGAAGTTCGACTTTTAGGAATGCATCTTACTTAGACAAGGATGCAAAATGTCAAAGCAAGTCTACTGCTTCTGGACTCTACAAACTACAATGTCTATGAGTTAGTAGCAAGGAGTCATGAGAATGATAATAAATCTCCACATAAGGGACTATATTACACAGCTATAAAACAACCAGGTAACCCTGAGTATAGGCATCACTATCCCATGGAATGGTTTCTTGCACTGACTAGAAAGGAGAAGGAATACTAACACCATTTCCGTGTTTTCCTGAGCAAGAATGAAGTGTGACTATCTCTTTCATGCTCCTGCTGTTGCGCCTTTGACAGAACCAGCCATAGGTAATTAGGGATACTATGGAGAGAGTGGGGATTGAGAAATTACAGGTTAAAAGAAAGAGACAGAAAACTTAGGATAGTGTCAGGAGGGCGTTCAGTCAGTACTGAAAGCAACAAGTTTAATCTACAGCTCCCTTTTAAAAGACAAAACAAAACAATTCACCTTGGTACAAGGACAGTCAAACTTGTTTTCAAAGACCACATTCCTGTATGGCAGACATGGTCCAAGGTCTTGCAGACAAGTTAAAGAAACTTGCCAAAACCTCCTGCTTATTTCTGCTTCAAGGTAAAGGCTAAAACATGTTTTTCACTGAATATTCTATAGCAAAGCAGCTTGTGAGGCAAGCAGCTGTCCACAGCTTGAGAAAGAACTTTTGCTTCCTACATGCCTTGTTGACCATAGTAGGCCATACCTTCAAATCACAAGCCAAAAGAAATGCTTCCTCCCTTGAAGAATGATAAAGAATGTCTGTTACATAACTATGGGATCACTGCTAAAATATACCAAATTCACCTTTTAAAAATCCAAGTGGAGAAGAGTGTGCAGCATCTATGCTATTTTTACTGGTGTTATCAAACACCTGACAAATAACTCAAAGAGGAAAGGTTTCTCTTTGTAACCCAAGTGCGCATACACAGGAGGCTGGGAAAATATTCCATGTTCAAATCATGTAGTGCATTATAACCTGTGTCTATGAAACAAGGTGATGTACTTTTGAATACCATCTTAACACTGGAAAGAACAACAGTGAAGCAGACTAACTTTTTGTACTATTCTTTCAATTGGTTTTAATTTCTTACCTTGTGCATGTATGTGTGGCAGTCAGATAATAAGTTGTAGAAATCAGTTCTCTCCTCCTATGAGGGTCCCAGGTATCAAATTCAGAATGCTAGGCTTGGTTGCAGGTAACTTTAGCTTCTGGGACACCTCACTTGCCCCTACTTCAATTATTTTCCTGAACTCAAGAATGATATTTTTGTCTATATACAGAGACAATTTGGATAGCAAACAGGAAATGACCAAAATTGCTGTATGCATTCTATTATTCTTTGGGCCAAAGATCTATTTTCTTTTTTTTTCATGCCAAACAAAACAGTCATTCACTTTATGACCAATTGATATAAAAATGTCTCTAAGTGCAGTCCTATAGAAGTAGACTGGTGTAGCTGAAGGCTTCAGTGGACATGGGTGGCAATTGCTATGGGGAGAATGTCCTGATGGTAGATAGCAGTGACAGTTGCACATATCTGAGACTATATTGAAAAGCATTGAGCTTTATACTTTGCATGGGTAAACTGTAGGTATATGAATTACAACCAACAGCTGTTACTACAATCCAATCATTTAATATCCTGGTCCCCCTCCTTGGCCTATGAGAAATTTGATAGATGTGATTGTGTGTTCTACCTCATGACTTCAGAAAGATTTTGTACCAACTGCAAGCATTTCCAGGAGAAAAGACCCTGAAAAGTCCCACACATTGTTAAAAAGACATGACAGTAACCAACCTCGATGTGCTGCCCAAGGCTTTGGGCTACATTAATGCAGTGTTGCTCCCGAGCCCATCCATACCTAGTTGGGGGTTTGGGAACCTAACTGTCACTATCTTTTACCTGAGTCTCCTTCCTGTACACAGGCACTTCCGACCACTGTCAGAGGCCCCTCTCCAGTTTACTTGCCCTTTTTTTCTCTTCCTCTTCTGTGCTGGGAACCAGTGGCTGTTGGACAGCAACTAAGATCACAATGAATGTGCTCTTCTGAGAAGGAGAATTTACAGTGCATTGAGCATTGGGACTACTTTATGGGCCTAAACTTGTAAGTGTCATTCTGGCTCTGCAGCTAGGCTGCAGGTGGATGAAGATATCAAAAAATGGGGAGAAGTTGCACGTGAATGAGTGGGAGTACGCACACATGTATACACTCACATGCATCTGTGTAGTGCTGGAGATGGAATCCAGGACTTGTATGGATGCCGAGAACTTGTATGTTCTACCACCAAGCCACACCCAAGATCACTGCACATTTGGGTTGTTCTGAAGCTTGATAGTCACTTTCGACCCCAGACTCAAATAGTTGACTCACATTCATAAGCCTCTTTACTTTAGCTGGTGGGTAGAGGTCTCTTTTAACTTTTCCTTTCTTATGGTGGCTCCAACCTTGGCAAGAAAACTCCACTTCACCAAGTTTTGTCTTCCCAGGTGGCAGCTGGAAAGTTCTACAAGGTTTAGGGTCTTAAGGCTCAGTTTGCAGTAACCAGTCTGTTAGATCAGCATCACCTCCTTATTCTTGTTGCACTCTCAACACCAAGTGCCCTACTGGTCTGTAAACTCCTTGAGCTCTTTGGTTGACTTTGCCACTCCTAGACCAGTTCCTTAGGCTGTCATTATGTCAGCACAGTCAGTTTGCCTATAAATTTGTTCATTTGACAATCATTCTACCACACCTAAGTACTGGCTAGCTGTGCCCTGATGACCATACACACAGAGTATGGTCATATTAGGCTCTCAGGGATGTTTGGCTTTGGATGATCAGAATGGCAGGTCACACTCTTTAGTGAATGCTTCCCTACCAACTCAAAGTCTGAAAGTCTTTCTTCATAGGGATACTGAAGCCTGGGACTAATTTTTGCCTTAATATGCATAGTCCAGGGAGTCCAGTACCCCAGGGAGACCATCATCATGTGCCTCTGGCACAGGCTTGTGACATGATTTCTCATGGTTGACTGCTTTCTCCTTCATTCAAAGGCCCTGCTTATTAGGGGATGGTCTTTGGTTCCTTGCTTTATGGAAGACCCTGAATAGGTGAGAGAAGCTAAGCTGACAGCCCTTACCTCATCTTAGTTATCTCCCCTAGACCACCATAGTCCAGTTCTGCCTCATCTGTATACAGGAAGGCTTTAACTATCGCCCTTTCTTGATGTTCCACGTAGTCCTGCTCCATATATTCTTTTCCTTTGAAAAACTAGGTTCTATTCTGTCTACTCTAGTTAAGTGTTTGTAGTGAGAAGGACTAACTCAGCCAATTTTGTTAACAAAAACCCTTATTATATAGAGTGCACATATGTGTTTGTTTTATTTTCGTGAATAATGTGAAATGCTGAGAGGGTGATTGGCTTGTGTCATGAAAAATAATGTGTTATATAACTAAAAGCAAGCTTGCTGGGGGCAGGGATATAGCTCAGTGACACAGCACTTATTTAGCATCTATGCGGAACTGAGTACCATCCCCAGCAAAACACACACACACACACACACACACACACACACACACAGAGCAAGCTTTCTAAAGTTTTTCATGTACTTTTGTGTGGTGCGCATGTGTGTACACACATATGTAGAGGCCCCAGCTTAATGTCAGGAATGTTCTTTGATTGCTTTTACCTTATTTATTGAGGCAGTGCTCTGGGGATTCCCCCACCTCTGCCTTCCAAGACTAAAACTACAGGGAGACCAGACCCTTAAGCACATCCAGCATTTATATGAGTTCTGCAGACCAAACTCCAGCCCTCATGTTTGTTGGGCAATAGTTTTTACCATTGAACTATCTCCTGCTGTGCACAAAGCATGCTTTCTCACTGAAGACACAGAGAAATACTGAAATCAGGGAAGCAATAGGGAAAGAGAGAAGCCTGCATGGTATATCACTTGAATGGTACCTTTTGGCTCCTCCAGCATCTGGGGAAACTATGATACAGGTTCTCCATTCAGGGATGTTCTCCTGAATCCACTGAAGAACTGCGGGCTCGGCATATAAATTATCCACAGGAATATCAAAGAATCCCTAAGGGAAAAAAAATCAATGTCACTTTGCAGGTTTGTTTTCTGACTGAATGTGAGATTTATTAGAGTACATGGTTGGTGGAGTCAGCGGTTCAGCACAGTGGAAACTATCAGGAGTGCAAGGCTCATTACATGCCTGAGTGACCATGAATGGAGATGTATTTGCTCCACATTCACTGAGAAAAAGCTGCTTCTCAGCTAATAAATCTTCAAATTCACCTGCATGAAACTTGGTGAAGTCTCACTTCTTTGAGATGTGGATTTCTGTCAGCTAGGAAACTTGAATTTGGACCTTGTGTAGGGTCTCAACCGTATGTTCTGTATTTTTGAGGTTGATATACATAAATATGATGGCCTAGCCAATGTGAACCCTGGTCACTGTGCCCTGGGACTTCTCAAAGGTGATACACTTGTCTAAAGCTTATACTAAAGAAAGCATGAGATAAGAGCCATCACTATCCACTAGAAATTCTATCTCCAAGTTTCCTTAGAGAAACACATACAAGCAGCTCCCAAGAAGGATGCTGTTTGCTGCCACTGCACACCAGGCTCCAGAAGAAGAGGAACTTAGGCAGTTTAATTGGATGCAGATTTTTAAAAAGATAATTGTTATCTCTAAGTAACAGTTGAATTATTTATCCAAAAGATAACTTTATATAACAGTCTCCCTGTAGGTAATTGTAACAGAATTAAATCTAATGATAAAGATGTCACAAGACATCTTTCATTCCAATCCATTTTCCAGGCATGCTCTGATGGCCAGTGTACAGAAGGAAAGAACAGCACTGCAGAGCATAGAGGAAAACAGTTGACTTTTTGTTGTTGTTTTAGCATTTGCTACAAATCAAATACTTCACATTCATTATATATCATAAATAGGCACCATGAAATATGGCGTGCTTTTGTAACAAAAGAAGAAGTTGTGAAGAAATTAAAAATGTGTATGGCAGGACTAGGGAGATGGCATAGTTAGTAAATACATAAAGTACCTGATGTACAAGCCTAGCATTCTGCCCATTCTGTAACCTCAGTGCTAGGGAAGCAAAGGTAGGAAGGCACATGCTTAGAGCTCATTGCTCAGCCAAGTTATGTGAACTGATGACCTCTGGGTAAGATAGGGAGGGACTGAGGAAGACATCCAGTGTTGACCATTAGCCTCCACATGTATGTGCACACAAACACAGAACGTCTATGACAATTTTCCAGAAGTTTAGGTGGGATCACAAAGCATATAAGAAAGCATTCTTGCGCCACTAAAATGAATTAGAGGCAAGGTGTGATAGGGACGGCAGCATCCACATAAAAGGCAAATGGCCAAGGGAGTAGCTGTGCAGACTCAATCCTTTCAAAATTAATTAACAGAGTTAAGACCTAACCATGGGCAGAAAGATAATGCTGGTACCTGGATCTGAGAAGCATGCAGGTCCATGGTGATGATGTGATCAGCCCCAGCAACTGACAGCATGTTGGCCACAAGTTTAGCAGAAATCGGAGCACGACTCTGAAAAAAAAGAAACAAAGATAGTCATGAAGTAACCAAATCACAGACAGAACCAATAAAGAAAATTACAAGTTATGGCAAGAAAAGATATATTTGATTCATTGCATTTAGGTACTAAATATTTATTATTAGTTGGCACTGCTTGTTTCTGAGCCTGGGTCCCATGTAGTCCATATAGCTTTATACAGCTCATATAGCTGGCCTCAAAATTATTTCTGCAACCAAGGATGGTCTAGAACTCTTAATCCTCCTGCCTCCACATCCTGAATGTTAATATTATGGGCATGTGCCACCATGCTCAATTTCTGTGCTAACTAAGGCTGAAACGCAGGGCTCCCTGTATCCTAGGCAAGTGCTCTACTAGCTAAACTACACTTTCAGCCTTACATATCCTGCTGTGTGGCCAAGCACCTGACACTACATGCAAAATACGAATATCAAAGGAATAAGGGTTTGTCTGTCTTGTTGATTTTCTCAAAGAACCACTTTTTTGTTTCATTGATTTTTTTGAATTGTTTTATTTGTTTCTAATTTATTGATTTCAGCCCTGGTTTGATTATTTCCAGCCATCTGCTCCTATAGGGTGTGTCTGCCTTTTTCTCTCTCCTCCTTTTTTTCCTAAGACTTTCAGGTGCTGAAGTTGCTTGTATGAGATGTTTTCTTTTCTTTTCTTTTCTTTTTATTTTTCTTTTTAGTTACATTTTGTTAACTCTGTGTCCCAGCTGTATCCCGCTCCCTCATTCCCTCCCCAACACCACACTCCCTCCCTGGTCTCCTCCCTGCCCCTTTCCAAGTCCACTGATAGGGGAGGACCTCCTCCCCTTTCATCTGACCCTGTTTTATCAGGTATCTTCAGGGCTGGCTGCAAAGTCCTCCTCTGTGGCCTAACAGACTGCTCCTCCCCTTGGGGGGGGGGGGTCAAACAGCCTGCCCTTGAGATCCTGTTAGAAATAGTCCGTGTTCCCCTTACTTTGGAAAACTACTTGGTTACTGAGCTACCACGGGCCACATCCAAGCAGAAGTTCTAGGTTATATCCATAGATGGTCCTTGGTTGAGTGTCAGTCTCAGAAAAGACCCTGTGCCCAGATATATTTGGTCCTTGTAGAGCTCCTATCCTTTCCATATCATACTAACTTCCCTTCTTTCATATGATTCCCTGCACTCTGCCGAGGGTTTGGTTATGAGTCTTAGTGTCTGCTATGAAACACTGCTAGGTAGAGTCTTTCAGATGCCTTTTGTGGTAGACTCCTGTCATAAGTTCAATGCACATCCCATTTGTCTTTCTAAATGAGGATTAATCACCTTCGCCTGTGTCCACTTTCTTGATTATCTTCTTTAGGTGTGTAGATTTCATTATGTTTATCATATCTTGTAGGTCTATATAAGCGAGTATATATCAAGTTTGTCTTTCTCCTTCTGGGATACTTCACTCAGAATGATCTTTTCTAGATCCCACCACTTGCCTGCAAATTTCATGATTTCCTCCTTTTTGATTGCTGAGTAGTATTCCATTGTGTAAAAATACCACAATTTCTGTATCCATTCCTCCGTTGATGGACATCTGGGTTGTTTCCAACTTCTGGCTATTACAAATAAAGCTGCTACGAACATGGTTGAACAAATGTCCTTGTTGTGTACTTGAGCAAATTTTGGGTATATACCTAGGAGTGGTATAGCTGGGTCTTGAGGTAGCTTCTTCTTGAAGGCACTTAATGCTATGAACTTTCTTCTTAGCACTGCTTTCATTGTGTCCCATAAGTTTGGGTATGTTGTGCTCTCATTTTCATTAAATTCTAGGAAGACTTTAAATCTGTCTTTATTTCTTCAGCTGTCATTGAGTAACAAGTTTTTCAATTTCCGTGTGTGTAGGCTTTTTGCTATTTCTGTTGTCTTTGAGGTCCAGCTTTAGTCCATGGTGCTCTGACAGGATACAAGGGATTGTTTCAATCTTCTTTCATCCATTGAAGTTTGCTTTGTGACAAACTATATGGTCTATTTTGGAGAAGGTTTCACCAGGTGCTGAGAAGAAAGTAAATTTGTTTGTGTTTGGGTGAAAGGTTCTGCAGATTTCTGTTAGGTTCATTTGATTCATGACATCTGTTAGAGTCATTGTTACTTTGTTTAATTTCTGTTTTGTTGACCTGTCCTTTGTTGAGAGTGGGGTGTTGAAGTCTCCCACTATTAATCTGTGGGGACCTACATGTGGTTTAATTTTTATTAATGTTTCTTTTACAAATGTGTGTGCCCTTGTATGTGGGGCATAGATGTTCAGAATTGTGATGTTTTCCTGGTGTAATTTTCCTTTGATGAGTATGAAGTGACCTTCCCCATCTCTTTTGATTTATTTTGGTTGAATGTCCATTTTATTAAATATTAGAATAGCTACTCTTGCTTGCTTCTTGGGTCCATTTGCTGGAAAACCTTCTTCCAGCCCTTTACTTTCAGGTAATGTCTAGCTTTGTGTCTTGGATGTGTTTCTTGTATGCAACAGATTGTTGGGTCCTGTTTATGCATCCATTCTGTTAGCCTGTGTCTTTTCATTGGAGAATTGAGTACATTGATGTTCTTGAGAGAGATTAATGACCAGTAGCTGTTAGATCCTTTGATTTGGATGTTGGTTGTGACAGTGTGTTTGTGTGCTTGGCTACTTTTAGTTTTGCTGTACTCAGGTTATTCACTTCCTGTGTTTTCCTTAATGTAGTGAGCTTTCCTGGGTTATATTTTTCCTTCTAGTATCTTCTGTAATGCTGGATTTGTGGGTAGGTATTGTATAAATTTGTTTTTTGTTGTTTAATATCTTGTTTTCTCCATCTATGATGACTGAGAGGTTTGCTGGGTATAGCAGCCTGCGCTGATATCTGTATTCTCTTAAAGTCTGCATGATATCCATCCAGGCCCTTCTGTTGAGAAGTCAGCTTTGTTTCTGGTGGGTTTGCCATTGTATGTTACTTGGTCCTTTTCCCTTGTAACTTAGAGTATTCTTTCTTTGCTCTGTATGCTTACTGTGGCAGCAGGATTTTCTTTTCTGTTCTAAATTAGTAGGTGTTCTGTAGGCCTTTTGTATTCTTATTGGCCTCTCCTTTAAATTGGGGGAATTTCTTCTATGATTTGGTTGAAAATATTTTCTGGGCCTTGGAGATGGGCATCTTCTTTTTCCTCTATTCCTATTTCTTAGGTTTTGTATTTTCACGTTTTCTTGGATTTCTTGGATGGTTTGTGCCAGGGATTTTAAGATTTAACATTTTCTTGATGGATACATCGATTTTTTTTCCATTGTATCTTCCACTGCTGAGATTCTTCTGTCTCTTGTAGTCTGTTGGTTATGCTTACCTCTGTAGTTCCTGTTTTCTTCCCTAAGTTCTTCCTCTCCAAGATTTCCTCCATTTGTGTTTTCTTTAATTTTTCCAATTCTTTCTTCAGATCGTAAACCATTTTGTTGATTTCTTTCACCTGTCTGACTGTATTTTACTGTTTTTCCTTCAATCCATTCAACCCGTTTGATTGAATATTCCTGTGTTTTTAATTTCTGTCAGTGATTTAATTGTTTCCTCTCTGAAGGCCACAGACTTTTGACTGTACCTTCCTGTATTTCTGTATGGATGGTCATACTGTTTGAGTTTATCTTCCTATATTTCTTTACAGATGGCCATAATCTGTTTGATTTTATCTTCCTCTGTTTCTTTACGCATTTTATTTGTTTTCTTCATTATCCTCTTCATAAGCATAGATGTAAGATCATCTTCTTGACTTTCACTTACGATAAGGTGTCCAGGGCTACTTGCCTCTCGATAACTGGATTCTGGAGACGCCATATTGCTTTCACTTTTGTTGGTTGTGCTTATGCTGTACTTTACCCATCTAGCTGTCTCAGGGGTTTTAGTTTCTGGTGCCTTCTGTAATCATGAGGTGGGGAGAATCCTCTTTGCAGAAAGATGGTTGTTCCTGAAGGAGGCCTCCTCTACTTTTTGGTATCGTCACCAAATGGCTGGTGATTTTCAGGAATTGCGACAGCTCACCTCAGGTGTATGAACCTGTGTGGTAACTGTGGTCGTTGGAAGTCAAGGGAGCTGTCCCCTCACTAGGAGTAGTCCTGGAGAAAGCTGCCTTTCTGCTGGTTTTCTTGCTTTGAATTTAGTGAGCTGCTGCTGCTTCTCTTACACTGTGTTTGCTGGGCACAACTCTCTTGAAGAACGAGGCAACCCCCCGGTTTGGTCAGTTTGGCTAGGGAGACAGGTTGAGCTTTGGAGCAGTGTCTGGGGTCTGATCCCATGGATCCCAGGCTTCTGTAGGTCTGATGTTGGGGCTGTGTTTCCCAGTCCCCAAGTGGTAATCACTGGCAAGTGAGTGCTCATGAATGCTGCAGGAGGCTAGAGCATGGAGACTGTGGAAACCCAGAAACTTTATAAGAGTTGGGTGTCCTGAGGTTGGACCTGATGCTTTCCCCACCTTGGGGTTTCTTCCCAGTAGGGAATCCCTGTGTTCTTTTGGGGTGTACAGTTCAGTCTCGGATGGATGATTAGTAGAGTATGTAGGCAAAAGTGAGTGGCTCCCTGCTGGCAACTGGGTGCCTGCAGGAACCTGGGAACTTTTCCTGAGAACTTTTCCATGGGGGCAGCGGGGGCAGCTGAGTGCCCTGAGGTTGGACCTGATGTTCCCCTCACCATGGGGTTTGCTCCCGACAGGGAAACCCAGTCTCTGGTGCCCTGGGACCACAGTTCTGTCTGGGATGGTGAGTTGGGCAAGCAGGCATGTGCCTCTTTGTTGGCAATCAAGCACTTGCTGGGAACCAGCAACTCTTCTGGGGTTTAGCTGGGTGACCTGAGAAGAATGGACCTGATTGCTTCCTACAATGTGGGGTTTCCTCTCACCTGGGAAACACAGTCCCTGGTGTTTTAGGGCGCAGAGTTTGGTCTGTTGATCACTTGCAGTCACTGCTGTCCTGCTTATCAAACATAGTGTCCTCTTGGCGCCGCCATCTTGGATCCTACTGTATTCTTTG